CCCCCCCCCCCCCTGGGGCTCCAACCAATTTACAAGGTCGGAATATGCCTTAAACACGAAAATGATTTTCTTTACAAAATCCACACACGGTATTGTTAATTCATAAGCCATGAAATACAAAATCGTAAAATCTTAAACAAACCTTTGTTCCAAAGCCCCGGATAAGAGAGGTGAGGTACGGTTGTATCGAGAATATGCAGTTTAGTGAGTGGTACAGAGGGCGTCTTCAATTATTGACTTGATGATGTGAATCACGTGATATTTTTGAAAGAAACAACAGAGCATTGTTAATAGCTAATACAACAAGGCTTCGTTGCTCTGACGAAAGTAAATCGTCCAAAGATCAAGAGTAGCTAACGTGGCAGGCGTAAAAATTAAAGGGGTATGGTAGGGGAGGAATGCGACGGAGATGCTCGTCAGGACTAAATTCAACTCCAAAAGAAAACCAAGCTGGGCGAAGCACAGGCTTTATTTGAACCATTAAGTCGACTGAAAACAAACAGCTAAGAGCTATAACGCTATCAGAGCTATATTCTCGTGTTTAAGATGTATTCAACAGAGTTTGACAGCGGGTGCTTGGTTTGTTTTATAGAGATAATTCATGGCAGAACCCCAATGAGAGATACCTTTGTATGTATGGCTAACAATCTTGGCTATCAGCAGGAGTTGATCGGGCTTTCAGTCCTGCACACCACAAGTGAGGCCGAGATCTGGAATTTTTCACCCCTATAAAAGCGAGACGAAGAGTATCCCGGTCTTTTTCTTAGGAGTTCCCCCCCCACTCCCCGAGTACCTTTCCATCATCCCAGACCCTGTCAACATCTGCCTCGCAGGAATTCAAGTGTTTCTCGGAAGAACAGGAACTTTCTCAGCTCCCAGTGGGAATCGACCCATGACCTTGATCCGGATTACTGGTAAGGGTTCTGTGGATTCCTGTTTCTAGAACAAAACAGAACAGAACTTGTTTGTAATCCAAAGAGCGCCTGATAGCACATATGGTAAAAAGATCGTACGGAATTTTTCAATCCTCCAATTATAGCCTGCGAAGCAGGCGCGGGATTTTTAGGGCCGAGGGGGAAATTTTGAAGAAGCGCGCGTAACCGGCGTCTGGCACGAAACGGGCGTCAGTTATATTAATTGATATCATTCTATAAGATTTCCTTTGACGCAAAGCATCTTTACCTTTTGCGCATGCTCAGTATCCCATAGTGATACATAAACCAAGTAAATGTTCATTATCAAGTGAAATACGAACAAAAGTTGCTGTTTAAAATGAAGTTGTTTTTCAAACGTTTCGGGCCTGGCTCTTCATCAGTGGTATTGCAAGTACGTTAGAACCAGTGCAAGGTTTTTATTCACTTATGAAGTGAAGCTTAAAACCTTTTTAGTGCCCGAGGGCTCTGCACGCAGTCTAAAGGAAACGGAAGGAGCGTTACCAGGCGTTTACGTTGCGCGTTGTCCCCGCGGAGCAAGGGCGTCGTTAATGGAGTGACCAACCGTGTAAAATACACAGCGGCAGGAAAACCACGCAAGTTCTTCTCGACGCTCCGTAGGTGCTCGCCAAAACGTTGTCTTTGTCTGTCGGAGATTATTCGGAAATAAATTTTTCAGCAGGCAAACACCTCAGGAATGAAAATCCTATAAGAACGCATTTCAATGATTCTTTTAAAATCAATTAGTGTCAGGCTGAAACTTTTAAACAAATTTTATTTAGCTAAATTGGAAAAAACATAGCACGGGCTACGTGATTAAACGTGCTAATGTTATAAGGAGACATCTACAGACGTATTTATCAATAGTCTTGACCTTTAAAGAAAGCACACTTATATACATTAGGAAATAAGTACGTAATTCTTTGTTCAATTATAGGATTGCTTTCAAAGCGTTGTTTTCCATCTAATTACTTGCCAATATTGTTATTGTAGAATAATTAAAGTACTCGCTAAGTGAATGAAAACAGCGTACAAATTGGTCAGGGCCCAGTTGCTCGAAGCATGGTTAGCGTTAACCAGCGTTTAATACCTTGACAACGTATTGGTTTTGATACTGCTTAACCAATGGTTAAAGCTAACCATGCTTTGAGCAACTCAGCCCAGGTTGCTAAGGCGGGGAACTGACTGACTAGCGGAAAACTGGCAATCAGACGAAATCGTGGAAAAGTCACATGAGAGAAACTAGCCTTAACCAACCAATAAGTGCAAAGCGCGGCAACCGCGCGCAACGCATCACTGATATGGGCTTTGCTTTTGATTGGCTAATAGGGGGGAATGAACTTTTTCACTGTTTCTACACGAAGAAACTACTAAACAATTTCGAAAGGTTCACTTCAGAGTAACCATTAGCAGTTAGGACTTTGGTAATCACTGAGTGCACAGCTTTGTAAAATGACTTCGTAGTCTGTGTTACGCCCACAGCTAAAAATAAGAAAAACAGACGAAAAGAATTTGAACAGATTGTTTAAAGGTCAAATCAAATAAATGAGTAAATGATAATAATAATAAAGATTTTTTTTATTCTATTGTGTGGACAAAAGTTGCACTTTCTACAACTTCCTTGGAAACATTTAATATTTGTTTTGCCAGCGGAAGCACAAGTTTCTTGCCTCGTACCCAGGCGCGTTCTAGCGGATTGGAGAGCGACTGGATCATGGTATTATGGGAAAGGCGTTCACCCTTTCCAACGTCCTTTGCGTCAACGCTCAACGTTCCCATGGTTCATTGTGCGATACTCTCGCTTGAAGTCGCGTGTTCCGTTTTCCCAACACACTTGAGACGCCTAGGAACGAGGCAGACAAGTCCCCACGTCCAGCGCAAACACAGGCACAGACATACAAAAAGGCACGTGATCATTCTGTAACCAAACATGACAGTTGAGCCCTTTCCACCTTGCAATTGTGCTTGCGTTTGAGTTGTCCCCGTTCAAACGCGTAAAAAGCGAACGTAAGGAGAAACGTAAGCCTTGACGCAAGAAATGGGCGCTTGGGTTTACGTCAACCCTTGAAGGTTAAGTTGTCCTTCTACCTGCCCAAAGCAAGAACAAACTATTTTAAGAATAGTTTTGCTTTTGCGGCTGTTGAGCTTTGGGGTTCCCTCCCTTCTTGTTCAAAGAAAGAGACTTTTCTGCAAAATTCAAGAGGAAGATCAAGTCGTACATACTATCTCAGTCAACCATTATAAATTCTCTCCTTTCTTAGTTTATAGAGTGCGCGATCTCTTCTTAGCCGCTTTAGTTTTAGATATAAACATATTTTTATGTAATTGAATTTCTTAAGCACGGCTTTCGAGAACAACAGATAGTTTACCGTAAAGTTATTTGATGAAACTACCGTGGGTAAATAACGTTTTCACTCACACTCGGCACTTACTCAAAATACTGACCTGTTTTTGAATTTTTCACCGCGTGATCGAAGTCAAACAAGCGGGAGAAGTACAATAGTTGAGTGTACAACGCTGTGTCGGAGAACTGAAAACAAAACAATTTGGCAACCACTAAAGGAGTTAGGCCACGAAATGTTAAATAAATAAATACTTAAATAAATAAATAAGTAATGGTAACAGGACTGAGTGGAGTCCAATTCGGTCTGTAATCATACGATTAACAAAATAGGATGACCGCGTAGCGGGAGTACGATTTGTTTAATCACGAGTATGATTACAGACCGAATTGGACGACACGAAGTTCTGTTACCAATTTATCATAATTTTGACAAAATTTGTGATATATAAGGCTCTTTCGGTTAATCAAAACACAAGAAATTCCACGATCTTTTGCTCTAGCAGTGAAAACAAGCCATTTAATCGCGCGCGTGATGGCGCGTACTGTCCAATAGGCTGATTTAGCGACAGAACGGGAACGTCACTTGACTACGGGAAATCGCGCAGAAAAGACTAAACTCGACTTCTGGCGCCCAATTTACCGCTCAGCCTTTGGTCAAGCCAGTTGTTTGATTTGCGCGCACCACTGTCAACCTACCTTCCCGTTCTGTTGCTAAATCAGCCTAATTATTTACGCATGACGCGTACCGTCCTATTAAGGCTGAAATCAGTGCAGTTGATAGCCAATCAGATTTGAGAATTTTATTATAGTTATGATTAATAAATAAATAATAAAATAAAATAAATAAATAATGATTTGGAGATAGCACATCCACAAAGTGGTTCTTCGTTTACCTGATTCCTGGTGGAATTGGTATTTGGAAATGTTGGTTTTTGAGGAGAGGGGAAAAGCGGACTACCCAGAGAAAAACCTCTCAGAGTGAACTCAACTCACATTATGGCATCGACGCCGGGATTTTAACCCGGGCCACATTGGTGGGAGGCGAACTCTCTCATCACTCCGCCATCCCTTGCTCCGCGTTCAAACGGACGCAACCTTGTTGGCCAACAAAGTTTTGAGCCAACAACTCCCAACATTTCTTATGTTTTGTGATCGCCGAAGCGTAGCGCAACAATGTTGGATCCGTTTGCAAACCTCTTCTAACATTAATTGCCGGGGCCACGCGCGCGGATTACACATGGTCTTCAAAGTTTTATGGGTTGTATCCTTCCCACGATGCACTGCAGGCCCTAACATTGATGGGAGTTGTTACATCCGTGTTCACTCCACTGCCAACACGGAGGTTAAAAACTCCAAACATTGTTGACCCTGTCCGTTTGTACATAGTTTTAGCTGATAATACCAACAGAGTCAAAGAAAAATTTGGCACGATCATGGTTGTCTTTGTTTTAGTTTTATACTCACCACTGGATGCAAGTGGGCCCTGAAGCATTGTGGGCACATAGGGGCGCCACGTTGACGTGTCAGGGGTACTTGACGTGTGCTGTAACCACAGGATGGGTCCTCGCATTTCTGCCAACCCTGTGCAATTAGTTATAATGTGGGTTAGTTTTAATACCTGTCTTCAAAGCATAAAAATCAACAACAAAATACCAAAGGAATTTTAAACAAAGAGACTGTTCACAGCCATCTTCGTATTGTTACTTAAAGGGGCTGTATCACGGAAGTCCAGTTTATTTTGTTTGATTTTGCCAATTACTCGCCCTCAATCGCTATGGAACTTAAACTTTAAGCAAATAAATTACATGGAAATGACAAAATCAGAGATTCGAGACAAACAAATATGCCTCCTGAGCATTATTTTTGAAGTTGCAAGCAGCAGGGATCAACTTTGAAAAACTGTTAGGCTGAACAGTTTTCAAAAATTCTAATTTCAATCCGTTTCAATCTTCTTCAATTTTGCTCATCCGTGGCATCTGTTGTATCTGCTGTGTTATTTTAACCCTTCTTCAATGTTTTAAGCGGTTATTTTTACGTTTCTCATAATTTAACAGGCACTTTATAATTACCCAATTTGGCTGAATATCGTGACACAGCTCCTTTAAGAGAACGCACAAACTTATTTAGGCAAGGATAAGAAACAATTCTTGTGCAATTTAGGGTCAAGGGTCTAAACTGGGAAAACAAAACATACGGCTAAAAAGGACTTTTACTAACTGAGGGAAATATCCTTAAGATTGGCATCATTATCAAATCCCTCTCGGCTACGACACTTGCTGATGGTCGCATTCTTGCAACTCCAACAGAGATCGCATTTGAGGATGTATTATCCATTTAAGCAAGAAGTGCATATAAATAGGTACAGGTATAAAAATCCTCCGCAGCTTACGTCGTTAGCTCATTTTTACTTCCTGGGCCGGGTTGTTCAAAGTAGGGTTAAGTTAATCCAGGGTTAGTGCGAAACTTGATTTCATATATGAAACCTTGAGAAGCTTTTCCAGTTGTATTCTTTTTGCCTACAATTGACGATCGGATGCTCTAAAAAGAAGAGAGAAAATTCTCCGGGAAAATGCTTTTGAACAAAAGAAAATGAAACCCAGATTAAAATTTACCCCTGGATTAGCGCTGATCGGCCTTCAAACAACTGGATCCTGCTCTCCATCAGTGCCCCGTTTCAAGGGTTTTTAAAGCTACTTAAAGCTACAAGGAAAGGAAAGAAGTTAAAAGAAGGATTTGGGGTCACATTTGGGAATCGAACTCGGACCCTCCTGCTCAGAAGGCCGTGCACTAACCGACTAAGTGCTAATCCTTGATCCTTGGTGTATAGCCCACAAAAAAGCCGTACGAGTTGCTTTGTTATTTTTATTACAGTGGAACTTCGATTTAACGAACCTCTATATAACGAAGTCCTCGGTATAAAGAACGATTTTCATCAGCCCCGCCAAAATTACAGTAAAATGTGTGGAACTGAAACTCGATTTAACGAAATCATCGTTATAACGAACACAATCCTGAAACGCAAACGTAAAATATACCTCGATATAACGAATAAATGTCAGCATGTGACCGAAAGATAACTAAGGATGAATGCGGAAGGATAAAACATGTGTCGAGGTGATAACGAGGTTTTCGATATAACGAACCCTCGATATAACGAACAAATTTCCCCAGTCCCTTGGCACTTATTTAAATCGAGGTTCCACTGTATACAATTGCAGTTGCAAAAAGTGAGCACTTCACAAAATTGCTTCAGTTACCAGGTAGTATTCCTTGATGTGTCTGCGCATGGCAACGTTCAACTGGTTGGAAACTGCGCC